TAACGCTAACCCTTAACCTAACGCTAAACCTAACCCTTAACCTAACCCTAACCTAACCCTAAACCTAACCCTTAACCTAACCCTAACCTAACCCTAAACCTAACCCTAACGCTTAACGTAACCCTTACCCTAACCCTAACCCTAACCCTTACCTTTATGTGAATCGGCTTGCTTTAAAAGCGCTTTTTAAAGCGCCCTTTTTTTCCCACGGTCGTATTTGTCGCGCTGCTGATGACGTCAGGTACGCTCTTTAATCGGGCACGCTTTAGTGGACCGCGGTTTTGACGGGTCGCGCTTTTTCTTCCTCTGTATTTAAGGTAGAAAGTTGAAATTAACTCATTTTTCCTTTGGACTGTCCTCTTTATGACCAAGTTGCAGAAATGAAGGTTTCCCCGATAGACAGAAGAACTGAGTGACCATCACATTTGCAACTGTGTGTAGCGTAAATTTACTGTTCTTTCTAATTTCCAATACATTTCTTGTATTACAATTTCTTCTTCAGTCAAACAGAGATTCTTTCAGGTACAGATAAGTGTTTTCTTTTTGGTGATTTTAGTTATTTCTGGAATTATAATGTTTAGAAATTTGAGCATTTTACTGATTTTTGTTTACCTTGCCAAAAGTTGAGGAACTAAAGAGATTAAAACCTTTAAATGGAAAGAAACAGCTTTTCTTTTTGAAAGAGTGAATAGAAAGATCCTTGTGTGGGAATTCTGTCTTGTTTACATAATAATTGTAAAACAAAATCTGGAAGGTGGATTACTAGAGCCACAAGAGGAAATGAGAGAAAATATTTGATTTATAGACCTGTTGAAAGGCTTGGATGTTTTTTAACTCTTTACCGGAACCAGAAGTTATTTCTGAAGATGAATAAATCCCTGTGGAGACAATTGAGATGGATTCACTGGATTTATAAATCCACAATCTGAAAATGTTTGCATGTGGATTTTTTTTGAAGCTTGGCTCCTAGTGATGACTGTCACACTGATGTGACTGAAGATAATTTTTGGCACGGATAGACAAAGCTTAGAAACAACTGGGTAAAGCACATGAAGAATACTAAATCATTATGGTGATTCTTTAAAGTGAATCTATTTCTCTTGGTCTGAATTCTTACTTCCTGTGTCCTTTTCCAGGTTGAATTTTACTGAAAACAAAGCTTTGTCTTCCTTTTGTGATTAATGAAAGATTAAAGTGGATTGGTGAATTCCCAGGATTAGTGAGCATAACCTGAAAAAGAAAAATTGGCAGAAGAGAATAGCAGTAATGAATCGTACCTGTTGTTTGGCTATGATAGAACCTAGATAGAACATTTTGAATCTTGTATAGTCATTGAAACAAGAGACCAGTGATGGACTGCCAGAATAGTGAAGGATAGGCCATAACTGTCATTATGCATGAAGGCTTTATGGAAGTATGGAGAAATAAATGAAAGACAAGAGAACAAAATGGGAAACAATTTGTAGGGGAGAAAGTCTATGTAATACAAGCTGACCATATGTTATAGCAATAGCAATAGCAGT